GGAGACAAATGAAAGGAAGTGGGAGACAAGCCAGCCGGGAACCCGACTACAAGCACCCAGCCTGGGAGACAAATGGAGAGAGACTGGGAGACATGTGAAAAGAAGTGGGAGACAAGCCAGCCGAAAACCCGACCACAAGCACCCAGCCTGGGAGACAAATGAAAAGAAGTAGGAGAGGAAGTGGGAGACACATGAAAAGAAGTTGGAAACAAATGAAAGTGGGAGACAGGCACCCAGCCTGGGAGACAAATGAAAAGAACTGGGAGACAAATGAAAGGAAGTGGGAGACAAGCCGGCCGGGAACCCGACCAGACCATCCAGCACCAAGGCGACCATTCTTTAAAGCATTGAGAACCCCAACAGTAAACTGTTTGGGGAATAACCTTAGTTGAAACCCTCCACCTTTCAATATAGTTATATATAAGATTATATATATATATAATATGAGGCAACCCCAGAACCATTTGCTAGATTCTAATGAAATGTGGAAGTACTTGAACTTGATTCATTCGAGGCCACGGGACATGACTGCTTTCGGATCAGCTGATTCCTTTTTTGATGTAACACCTTGGTCCGGGGGAGTTCTGGCGGTTTGAGGTTGTAAACCAAGATACGTGTTTCTGAAAAAGCAGCCCGAAAGACGATCATTTGGATCAGTTTGGTCCATCGAAGCTTTGTGCAGCTAGAAGTGAATTTCATCACGCTATTAGAGGCAGAGTAAGAGATGAGATTTGAGTGAATTGTGGATGAGTCTGGCTGTCCAGATTTGAGCAGAAACATGCTCGGAGGAAGTTGTTTCAAAACTAGAATCAGTCAAGGACAGAGGCAACATCCGTGAGATGTTTGACTCACGGAACCTAAATCCAGTCCAGTTGCTGAGGACCGAGGCAAAATCCAGTCCAGTTGTTAGGATATTCTCTGAGTACATGCAGCCCTTTGACCCTCTGAGGTTGGGCAGCCCAGAGACCTTTGAAGCCAAGCTGGAACAGGCTCAACATGACTTGGGAATCCCAACGGTGGACTATGTGCCTGTTCAGTTCCTTCGGCATGGTGGGACAGGGCTTTGCCGGGCTTTGCGGTGGACTTTGATTGCATATCTTGGTGGAAGAGCTTCACATTTTCAGAAGAAATGGCATCGGGAGTTCCTTTAGGCTCTTTTGGCAAGAGTGGGGCCCGTGTGTCAGGCTGCTAGTCACGGGCAATTGAATGATCCAATTCTTGTGAAGAGGGCCGCACAGAGCATTTTGCTCAGGTACATAGAGGAGTCGGATTGGCGCTCCGACATTCTGCCTCATTTGCCCACTGCACTCTTCGTGGTTGTCCCTCGGCTTTTGACCAACCGCCTGGTCAAAGTTTGTTGGCCAGTGCTTAGTCTGTCAATGGGACCTGGTAGACTCTTGAGCCGTTTAAATTTGGCCGGCTCTGGATTGGCGGTTTGCCAGGATCGCGAATCCCCCGCATGTGTACTGTAGATCTGTGTACTGTAGCAGTTTTTGATCTGGAGCTCCCAGCAATTCCGTAGTACCACAGCAAGAAGTTGAAGTCCCAGAACTGGCAAAGGAGGTCAATGCTTGACACCCAGGTTGTTCAAGGGTTTTATGGGCTCTTCCCAATGGTCTGACCTGCCAACCCACACCGACCCCCGCCCCCCCGTTCACCGGCCGCGTCCTCCGAGTTACTCTTCATGGGCTTAAGCTCCATGGCCAGCATGGGCGCCAGTGGCATGCCGGGCGGTCCGGGTGCAGGCCCAGGGGGGCGGAACATCTTCAGCATCGGCAAGGCCTTCCCACAGGGGGCCAAGGACCTGAAGTCCAAGGCGGGATGTGGAACATCCGATAGAGGGATGGAGTCCAGATGGATTTGAGATGCGAATGCAGAGACGTAGAGTAGATTTGCAGGTAGTTGAGAATTGATGCGAAAAGTATGGGAAAAAGATGGAAAAAGTCGAAGTTCAGCCTCCTCCCCAGCAACGCACCGACCAAGGTCGAATCTGTTTTTCATTGGTCCCTTGTCCTCGGTGACGGGTTCATGCCCTCGGAAATCTGCATCGGTGCCAGGTGAAGTTCCCTGACGTCGCCGGGTTGGACCAGGCCAAGTCGGATGCTCAGGTCGCAATAGCGTCCTTGCTCCTAGTAGCGATGCCTTTGTTCCTAGTGGCTTCTTTGCTCCTAGTAGTAAGGCCAGGAGCTACTAGTAGCGTCTTTGCTCCTAGTAGCGATGAAAGAAGAAGTCTTTTTGGTTTTGTTGTGGGGGACAAGTGGTGTGGCCAAGCAGACTTTTTTCTTTGTGCATTCCTGGGGTCATGGATGTCATGGCAACGTTGGTATTTCAAACATGACGACCTTGTGAGGAAATTAGAGTCATGTGTATGAGAAATTATATAGAATATATATATATATACAGATAATGTAACAACAACTTTTGTTCACAAAAAAGTAATCAGGGAGATCGTTTTCAGATGGCTGTGTTCTTTTTTCTTCAGGGTGCTTTACTTGTCTCAACTCAACAATCAATGCGCTTTAACACGCGATTTGCATGCATGGAGCGACATCCGTCCCCACTGCGCAGACTGCTTTTGTATCTTTTCACGTGTCTTTTGTGAGGAAGTGATGGAGTTTGTAGACTTCCTGCAGAGCCCCACCAAGTACCAGCAGCTAGGAGGGGGAGTGAAGATAAACATTTCAATAACTTTACATAAAACTTCAGTTGGATGCTTTCCAGAGACTTGTTTGTTTTACTCCTTTTTCCTTCTATGGCATGCTTATTAGTAGCTCCTTGCCAGGAGCTCGAGTTCCTCGGGGTGGACTTCTTGTTGGTCCACCCGGGACCGGGAAGACCTTGTTGGTGCCCCGGGCTGCGAAGGAAAAACCACCGACCTTCCGGGAGGTTTGGACATTTCCACCCAAACTATTGGGGAGGAATTGGAATTGGGGCCTGAGCTACTGGGAACCATTGCCCCTTTCTTGGCTAGGGGGACCAATCGATTTGAACCGCAGAACTCCTTGGTTGTTTGCCTGGGGTGAAGAAGTTAGCAGTTGTCCAGCCTCTCTCACTAGCTACAAGAATTCATCACCTTTGTTCATTGGGGTGCAATTTGGCCAGGTATTTTGCCACATCTGCCAGAAAGCCTCTCCAGTCCTGAGCCGTTCTTCCGTCGTTTGGAGTTGACTCACCTCCGAACACGTTCCCCGATGCTGTGTGTGCCAAGGCCAAGGCAGTTGCTGGTGAGGCAGACGTGCCCTTCTTCTCCATGCGCCTGGGCAAAGGTTTGAGGTTTCGAAGGTTGGCAAGCATGACTAGTAAGGAAGTTTGGTTTCCTTTGGCAGCCTGAAGTCTTTAACAGTCCGCGCTTTTCCCGCTCTGGACCCTTTTTTTCAGTTCTCTCAGCACCAGAAACTGGCCTTGTGCATGAACAGGAGCGGCTCGGACTTTATTGAGATGTTCGTGGGTGTGGGACCCTCGCGTGTCCGTGACCTCTTTCAGCAGGCGAGGCATGACCGATTGAGCCCCAGTACTGTGGCGCCACGGTTTTAGGGGAGACAGATGAAAGAACACCTGGAGGCTTTCTAATTTTTAGATGGTAAATCTATGTGGAGAATGCCATGCTCTCATACTCTGTTTCTCCCATTCCAAGGGCATTCGAGTTGACGAAACCGCCTTGAAAGCAGATGGTTCGATCACAAGGGTTGTAGGGTTGGCCCATTCGGGACCAACGAGGTCATCGATGGTCATGGGCAACAGACCTTTGGCAGACCATTGCCATTGGCTCTTTCCTAGCCGGTGGTGTAGCTGGGTGCCCATCGAATCGCTGCGTAGGCTCGTGCACAATCGCCATCGATTGTGTTTATTGATGAGATTGATGCAGTGGGCCGACGGCGTGGGAAAGGCGGCTTTGGAGGTGGCGGCAATGATGAGCGAGAGAATACTCTCAATCAGCTCCTGGTAGAAATGGAGACTTGCCGTCATGCAGCTGGGAGACGAGCACGAACACACATTGATCGTTTGCAACCAGGTGATTTCCGCTGAATGGCTAGACAAGCGGAACTGATTTGCGGACTTCGTACGGTACCGGAGAAGCACAGATTTCACCACGGGGACAGGAGCTCAAAAAACCCTGGTCTAAAAAGTCTGTTATGATGCAAAACCAACAGTCGTCTACTCACAACAGGTTGACCCATCCTTCATTGACTGAGATGATATATATATATATATAATATATAACTGTATTTGTCGGAAACTGGCTTAAAATGAGTGACAGTGACCGACTGCACATGACCCTTCTGATCACAATGCGCAAGACCCTTCTAAGGTACCTTGCAAAGTGCAGACCCCCCCATATTATTCTCTTGACCACTTCAGCATCAGGTCATTTTAAGCTCGAACTCATTTTTTTCATCTTCCACAAACTTTGAGTGGCCTTGACATGCTGACTCCCATTTTCAATCCCCTCCCACTCGTCATTCCCCGTCTCCCAGTCCGACTCTGCGGTCTCGGTCCCAGGATGGCTTTTCGTCAGGCACCGGTGTAGTGGTCCTCGCGGGCACCAATCGCGTGGACATCCTGGACCCCGCGCTGACGCGTCCGGGGCGCTTCGATCGGCAAATTGCCATTGAGAAGCCCGACCTGGCGGAAGCCTGGGCTGTGAAAGCCAGGAACCTTCGGGGGGGAGGCATCTCAGTTTGGTCCGGAAGAATGATGGAGGGTCTATGACCAATTTCAGTGTTTCTAAGATAAACATTATATTTTGAAGTTTCTTGCAAGCAGATTCGAGATGGAATGGACGCGCCCAATTCGTCTACACGGGTGGTGGCTCAAACATGTAAGACGCAAAGTGGTGGGAGGTTTTGGGGCACCCAGATCTTTTGAACTAGCGGCTTTCCCAAGCCGACCTGGTCGTGGTTGAATATGGTGTCCCCTAAATTCTGACGCAGCGAGACAATTCCGATTGTGGATGTCGTTCTTCCACTGGGCTGGAGGTGGTTCCATGAGTTTCTGCCTACACCCAAGTATGTCAAATTCGTTCGGTCTAGGGTTGTCGATTGGGAATGGACCTGGGGTACTTGCAAGATCCTGCAAGTGAATCTAAAATATGACATTGCAGATTTCAGATTGACATATCCAGAGGCTTTTTCAACGAACCCTTCACGTCTGACGAGGGATCATGTATTACCTCATATGGGTGTCGTGTCTGGGGTCACATCACCGTGTTTTCAGCGGTGCGGTGGGTCGCGGTGGGCCGTGTTTCTGCCCGTGGTCCCTTGAGCTGGAGAGATGTGTGGAAGATTCTGCCAAACCTCCAATTCCACGGTGGAGTACACGCCACTGATTTTTGGATTGGGTCCTTTTCGAGGCTTGGAAGCTCCTGAATGAATGTTGCATGTTCGCTTTCAGAGTGCTTGATGAGGAAAGAGAGCAGATCTTTATGGTTCACCTGAAGCTTGGCCGAAGCAGCTTCTTTTCATTCCTTTTTGGAATGATTTGGACATGCCCTCCCCAGTGTGCCATACCCACCGTAAGGGATGCCAACTCGGATTGTTTTCTCACTCTTCCAACTCACGGCATGGATTCCATGGATTCCCACGTCGAAGACGCATCGGTCAAGTCTTCCAACCAACTGGGCCAGGGCGGTCATCTACTTTCCAATACTTTCCGCTGTTTGGAGGCGCTTGCCCAAGACTCGCGGAGAAATCCACCCGGGCGTTCGCCCCAAAAGCGATGGGTTCTGGTTGAAACACCAGTGATCACCGGACCGTCATTGTCGAATCGAGGAAACCCATCAACCTACAAGAAGGCCTAGCAGTTGAAGATGTGGCGAAGAGGATGGCATCTCTCACACCGGGCTTTGTTGGTGCAGACATTGCCTGCTTGGCCAAAACGTCTGGGAGCGATCGGTGTTGTGCGCAAGACCAGAAATCACTAAAGACAAACAGGTTCTTCAGCTTTAGCTTGAGTAGCTTGGGCACGAAAACCAGACACATTTTGATGGCAGTTAGCCGGGTTTGGAGTTGCATGCAGTATCATTTCAGCAAAGCTTTTGTAGCCAGGGTATTCCATATGGAGCGGTGCAGTTGTCCAATAGCATCCTGCTGCCTTTACCCTTCTCACTGTTTGGGCAGCCAAGGGGCGATCGGCACACCCGTACGACAAGCGTACTCTAGTAGCGTCCTTGCTCCTAGTAGCGATGCCAGGAGCCCCTAGTAGCGTCCTTGCTCCTAGTAGTAAGGCCAGGAGCCCCTAGTAGCGTCCTTGCTCTGAGGCCAACGTTTGCAATGAAGCAGCCATTTTCGCGGCAAGGCGAACGGCTGAGCATGTCGAGATGCAAGACTTCGAGCAAGACGCCCGGCAGAATGGTATGGTGACCTAAGGTAGTCCCAACATCAAGAGGCGGTTTTGTTTGAAGAATGAGAGCACAGTATATTGGAATACTATTTTATACATCCAGTAAATACACATGTCCGTTGGAAACAAAACCCAAGCTTGCTTTTTGCACCTCCAGCACCGTTTGAGCTTCAATCCCAAGCAGTGCGTGGCTTGCAAGCAAATGGCGATTTTAAACCAGTTCTTTGTTGTGTCAGGGATGCGTGCAGACGCCTTCTCCAACACTACATGTCTTCCAGCCAGCCAAACCGCATTGGTGTTGCCGATGTGCTCATCCCCCCATGGGAGAAAGCAACACATCAATTGCTCCAGTTGTTCATCGCAGCATGATTTTGGTGCCAAGTCACGAATGCACTGGGCAGCTGCAGTCCTTTGTCACTTCTTGTAGGCACCGCCACCCTGACAAGTCTCTTGCGTGTCTGCAGGATCAAGTCGGTAGAACTGGTTGCACTTGCTGCATGATTGCGGCTTTTTTCACAGCCACAAAATATAGGCAAATCTTCTGGTCTTAACAACTGGCGCCTTTTGATCCCCCCTAACAGAGATGTCACTTAGCAAAGCCTTTCAATTGCCACAAGACAAGCACTATTGGCAATTGGATATCTTTTGAGGTCGCAGGAGATGCTGCATCCATTGGCACAAGAATTGGGCTTGTCCAATGCATGCACTCTCCACCTTAAGCTTCTCCCCCGGACTTGGAGCATCCGGACTCTTCGTCCGCGCCCCGTCGCCCCGAGGCCACGGAGCGAGTCCTGGGAGGTTTGCCGAAGCAGAACGGCCTCATGAGCCCTGCGGAGAAGAAGACGGTGGCCCTGCACGAGTCAGGTCATGCGGTGGCAGGCGAAGGGACGCGGACGAGCTCAGATGTTTTGAGCCAAAGATGGCTGTTTTACTGAGGAGAGACAGATTGGTGGTTTGGGTGGGTGTGAGATGTGGGGTTTGGATAGGTTGGATGATAGTTTCAACTGGGCACAAGTAGTGACTAAGAATAGCTGGCCAAGAACGGCACCTTCCAGCTTCCGAAATCTCCTTCGTGTGCAATCCATGTCACCGTTGTCACTTTGAGGCGACCGGGTCGGCACGGACCACCTACAACCACCTCGGTCCAGCAGGGAACTGGCCGTTTTGGCGGGACGGGGTCCCTTAGCATGGGACATCTGGGAAGGATGGGACAACCTGCGTTTCTCGAAGGGTTCAATCCGATTTTACGCCGACCGTCACGAGCGTCGCTACGTAGCGACGATCTCGATGGATCCGAGCGGCGAAGCGGAGAGATGGGCAGGCTGGTTCCTGGAACATGCAGATCCTCTACTGCCGCCTGGAGGCAGTGCGACAGGCTCCGCGGACAGGTGGTTGTTGATCTTTGCAGAGTTTGTTGTCATGTGGAACAGACGGCCAAGGTGTCAAGGATCACTGACATACTTCACATACACCGGTACTATCTATCGCATTCTACTGCAGTCTTATCTTCTTTTTGTAGAGAGCTTGTCTTTCCTCCAACATCTTCCGACAAAAACAGACAGACGCAGCGCCTTAGGAAAGTCTCCATTGTTCCTCGGAGCAGTGGAGCGTTGGGCTTTGCTCAGTATCTACCGCAAGAGATGAGCCTTTTCTCCAAAGAGGCAGAGAAAACCAGCGGATTCATGCTGATGGGATGCCGCAAAATGGGTGTTTTTGGATGTTTTTGGAACGTTGTGGTTGGAGGAGGAGGGTTTTTCCGGAAGCCTTGGGAGTTGGATGGTCCAAGGGCGCAGCAATCTGGATCCCTTGGAGCCGGGCCTGAATCGACGTGACGTACCTGATCATCGATCGATCTGTTGTCGCTGCCGTTTCAGCTGGTGGCGTTTGAGCAGTGAGCATCAGAGCATCCACAAAGAATTGTAAGCACCCAGCAACCCGCAGATGTGGGCCCCCCCAGCTACAAGCAAGACATCACAAACACATGAACTATCATGAACCTCAATTCATCAACCCAGTACTCAGTCTACTCAGTCTCCTTCAGGCCATCCTCGACAAGATCGCTGTGGCGCTGGGGGGTCGCGCGGCGGAGGACCTCTTTGTGAAACGCATCACCACTGGGGCGTCGGACGACTTGGACAAGGCACAGCACGGTACGCCGGCGTCCGGCACGGCCCAGTCTCGGACGACAGGGCTAGGTAGGGTGACTTGGTGGGTAAATGGGTAAATTGTTGGGGCTTGGTGGATGAATTGGGGGCGAATTTTCGGGGCTTGGTCGGCTTGGTCTCTTTTGATAAGATTGAGCTGAAGTCTCAGGTGCGGTACATGGTTCGGGAGGTTCTGCAAGTGTGCTAGCTTGCGAGCGTCGCCACGGTGTCCCACATTTGCTGAGTCAGAAGGCGTCGGGAAAGCCAGGATCTGCCATTTGGAGTCACTCTAAACTTTTGACCGAGCAGCCCACACATACTGAGACACTGACTCTTCGCTGTGGATATCTGAGCAGGTGGGGTGTACTGTGCATAACCCTCAGGGTTGCACACCGAGCATGCCACATACACACATATTGACTATTGGCCACCGTCGAAAGACCTGCAGAAACAGTCAGGCCTGCATTTGTCCAGTCAAAAATGAGGCAACACCTGGGTTGAGGCTGGTGACAATGTGATTGGAGGGGTGGCTGAGAGGACATTCAGAGTCTGCCAATGTAATCCAATGTATTATACATTCTTACATTGCTGCGTGCCCTGGGAAGCAACCCGTGGTGCCTTGTTCCTCCGTGATTCCTCAATCATCAAGGCTTTTTGGGATGACGAATGCCACAGATGAGCCACAGAGGACATTGTCCCACAATCCCTTCTGACTGCAACAACTCGAAAATAGGATGGCCGGTCCCAGGCCTAGAAGAGGAGGTTAACACCCCTTAACCTCCAAGCGGGCTATTACTGTAGTAGACACCCCAATCCGGGGGGCACTGGTAGATGTCGGCTCTTCATCCAGGTTTCTTCAACATCATCACTGGCCGAATTTTGTTGGAGCTGTCTTCATGTTCGCGACTTCCACTCCGCCAGCTCCGGCAGGTGACAAAAATGGCGTACTCCATGGTAGCTGTCTATGGAATGAACGCTGAGCTTGGTTTGGTGTCCTATGGCCAGAATAATGCGAGTGAACAGTTCTACAAGCCATACAGTGACTTGGCAAGTGTGAAGGCAGCAAAGCCAATCATTTTGGTACTTGGGTTGAAAACCCAACGAGATTATAACCTGAAGGCAATGTCATAGTCATAGTCTTGTTTTTCCTCTTTCTTTTCCGGCTATGTGTGGCTCAATTCTTCAGCGCTCCCCAGAAGACAGGCCAGTGATCTGCCTTATTGAACCCTGCACCACCCTCACAAAAGGCACGTGAACGAATATAACAGCACCTATTTGCAGATGAAGGCCTCAAAATATTGATAGATATTGATAGAACATACCACGCGTATCCGCACGTAGTCACATAGATCCTTATTTTTGTCGAGGTCAAGTCGTCATGCAACCATGCTGGCACCTCGTATGTGGAAATACCTTGCCGTTTCACAACGAATTCCCAGATGAAGGCAACACATTCAGCACCTGGCGATCTAAAATCTTAAGGTTCCGCAATCAGGGTCGCTCTCATTTCCTGCTCTATGAAGAGACCATGTGATACTTGGGCTGGGAGAATTTCCTGCCCAGCAGGGTTCCTGCTCGACGGTCTTTTTCCCTTGGATTTAAGGTGAAGAGACCGGACGCAAGATCGACGAGCAGACCAAAGGTATTGTGGAAGAGCAATACAGTCGCTTGGCTTTTGGTGATTTGAAGATCAACTCAAGGACACGGAGTTTCACTCGATTCTCGGCATGTGTGGGTCTTCCAGCTTTACTTCGCTATACAATATAGACAGTACTTAAAGATATAAGTACTCGATCCGTGTTTTGAAGGATCTTCCATTGTTTTTGGGGTTTTCCAATTCTAGCAAGAAAGATATATATATAGCTATAATATCTACACACCAAGCAAGCAGCTCTCCGCTGCTGGGAAAACCCTCATACACAAGTACACAGTGAGGCGTTCAGATGCTGCAGGTTCACACCAAACGCGCTGACCATTTTTCCGAAGAAGTTCCGGTGCGAGGAACTCGGTGTCCATGTGAACTGCGCCAGGGTCGAAACGCCAAGGGTCGAGACGGTCTGCATGGGGACGGTCTGAATGAAGGACACCACTTACATGTCGGGTGTCAGACACCTACACAGTGCAGGTCGGGTCAAGGCACTGTTGGCAGAGCAGGGGGAGAAGCTGCAAGCTTTGGCAGAGAGGCTCGCTGAGAAAGAGATGCTTGGCCCCAGATGACTCGAAATGGTCACGAACATCCACTGAATCCCGCAGGGTTTACTTAAGACAGTGAGTGCTTTTTTGGGGGATGGTCATGAAGTACTTTGTTCCAAACGGTCTCTGTCTCAACCAAACCTTCTTCCTTCCACGAGTCTGTCACGAGTCTGTCACTTCATTCCAGACGGCCACCCGCCCACAAATTAACCCCCCCTTGAGATACACATGTGTGCGCAAGACAACACCACGCACCCCCCGCAACCCCCGCTTGCTTCAACTCAGGACTTTGGTCTATCATGATCTCGTGGAGGTCTTGGGCGAGCGTCCCCATCCGATCAAAGCTGAGCTGTCCAAGTTCGTGACGGCAGGTGCACCGGATGGGGTCACCCGATGGGGGGAGTTCGGACACCTTGCTAAAAGATGTCAAAGGTATCTGGAACTCACCATCCAGCTAGTTTTGATCTGGAGACCGATTGGTGAACTCTTTCATTGCAGATGTAGCCAGATGGTATTTAATAGTCGAACCCTTGAGTTGGCCGAATATCCAATGCAGTCGCAGATGACCAAGAAATGCTCGCGATCTCTGAGGTGCCAACCCTTTCACAGTGCAAACGGCGACGGAAGTGTCGGAAGAAACGTCCGAAAGCGCTGAGAGCAAGGAGGAGTGAGGAGGAGTCAGGCTTCTCAGCACTGCTGAAGCAGACTGCGAGATAGAGCCGCTGACTCTGACCGAGAGACCACAGAGAGACCTCAGACCCAGGCGAGCTGCCAGATGTTCTGTTTTCCCAGAGCCCTAGAGGCCCATCCAATGGCCATAGTGCTGATTGAGGCTCCTCTTGTGAGACAGCCTGAAAGACTGGCTTGCCGGCCCCCCCCAGAACCCCATCTTGGCAATGCTGTTTTAGAACTCCCACGAATTGAGCCAAGGCATCGTCGTTCGTGGGCCGGCAAGCATTGCTTGGGATTAGATCGGGAATTTTTTGAGGTGACAACTGTGGAGGCAACGGTAGTTTGTGCTGTTATGTTTGTTGTATAACTATCTTGTAAATGGATTCGGCAGATTGTTCCTGTTGACCCACTAGTCTACCTGATACATTCTTTTGTTGCCGTAGCGGTTTCTCGTATCGTGAAGAATCGAAGACGTCTATAGGCCCGAGGCCCGATCTCATTTTTCCAGCATGGTATGTTGCCTTCACAGCGCGAAGAGAGTCCCCTTGAACAGTCACTTTCAGAACGCCTCCGATTGGACAGTCACGACTTAAAGGGACAGATGTCATAAGCACAGAGCCCGACTCTCGTCCAGAATCCCGGCACCAAAAAGGCGTGGGTCGCGCTCCTCGGGCTCTCGGGCACTCGGCAAGGGAGTCGGCTTCCATGTTGTCCACTGGTTCTTTTCCTTGGATATCGGACATGACGAAGATTTTGGGTGCATGCTTGGACACTTTGTTTGATCGGAAAGATCATGGTGGACAGCCTCAAGGTTGATGGAAGTGGAAAAGATGCCGTGAACAATTGGGAATCCCTTCTTCTGTCGGACAATGTGCGCACTGGGTTATCTATCCCAACTGACTGGGTTTCTCACAGTCAGTGGTGCCATGTGCGGGTGGGACATCGCAATGCAATTTGTGTTGATTCCAGATCCAGCCACATGGTGAGTTGAGGTGAGAGTGCGTGAGAGTCGGGTCGTTCTTGTTTCGCCCGGCGAGCATCACGACTTGGTTTGTCCTAGCTCCTATGTACTATGAAGATACAAAGTGTGATTTTTGGCAAGTTGTGTTTTGTGTCACGAGCTGACATAAAGCTCAACATGGCTGGAAATGGACACATGATGAAAAAGGTGTAGCACGGCGCCACAGTCCGTCGCTGTTGTCCACCAGTTGCCAGGCGCCGCAGTCGCGAGAGGACTCCATCACAGGTCAGTTCGATTGGAATGGGGAGACTGCAGAGACCCTTCTGCCAGAACTGGCAGGGCAGGAAGACAAACTAAACCAGTTTGAAGTGTCTGGCTAATGCCCACGGCCAATATGCTTATGGAAGCTTGAAAGGCGAAAGAGTCCCACTGGTTGGTGTGTCTTCATCCCACTTCGTCTGATGGATATTGGATCACCTTCACAGGGCTGTCCTCACCTTCCAGATGCTTCAATGATATGAGGATGAAAGGACCCTTTATGATCTTCATGATCTTCATGCTTCCTTGGGCATCAGAAGGGAAAAAGAGGAGAGAAAGGAGGGAAGAGCAAGTGCTTGCACCTGAAGTTGCTAGGAGCAGGCATATTAACCCCAAAGCTCAATATTTGCACACCGATTAGAACACTTGGTGATTTGTACCCCTCCAGGCAACAAGCAGCAAGAGCTTCAGGTGAACTGTCCAACGCCAATATATGCTATATACATTAAGAACAGACCCTGGAAGTGCAGGCCGTCATGTCCTTGGTAATTATACGTGATTGTGAAGCGACTATTGCAGGTGTATGCCAAGCACATGGCATAGAAACCAGCATTTGTGCCAAGCACATATGCTGAGGGCTACGAAGTGTACACCGGCTACCCGGGCTACGGGGGCTACGCGGCGCTTTGGCCGCCACCCCCGTTACCGCCAGTCTCAGAGGACTTTGGACAGAGAGATAGTCATCTGAGTTATCCTACAGAGCCCTACCCGTCATCAACTCGAGAAAGCAAGGTCCAATGGGAAGAGAGTGCAAGGAACATCTGAGGACGAGAACTAGTTTGAAGCTTTTGTTGAACATGGAGCAAATCGCTTCAGACATCTCTACCTTTTCTCGGAGGACTTGCGGCTCCGCTTGGAGAAGCTCGAGGCCGCAGCTGAGAAGTGCGCTTTTTGAAGATTGGTTTCTGCTTGTCTGGGCTTTGGCGCTGATTTTTGTGTTCCTAGTAGCGATGCCAGGAGCCCCTAGTAGCGTCCTTGATCCTTTGAGTAGGAGAGACTTGGACTCTGAATTTCATCGGTCCATGCATTCCATTTCTCTCAGATAAAAGACATGACATTGGACGTTTTGGAGTTGGAGCGCGGCCAGCGCGGCCATCCAAAAGGACCAACTTCCTTATGTGGAATTTTGCTGTGGCTCAAATGTGAGGTGCACCGGGCCCAATCTTTTGAGGGAGCAAATCTCAACTGTGACGGTGCAACAGCAAATCTTTGACACATGCTCAGATTGTAAGATATGACTAATATGTTTGCCCATTGCTTGGTAGAACTTGCAAAAGCTGCAAGTCAGCAGGGGTCAGCATCCCAGCATTTCAGACAAAATCGATCCTTCTGCGCATAGAGCATGTCCTGTGCTTTTGTCATGTCCTGCCCTCGTCCTTGTTCCGACCCACCACGCTGAGAGCAGCTTCGGCATGTATTCCAACCGAGAGCTGCTGGAGAGTCCAAGAAGTGCTTCAGCCAGCCTGGGCTCTGGAAGCCCCTTGTCCTCCAGCGGCTTCAACCACACTTGGGGTCAGAGCCGCACCTGGCAGAGCAGCACATGGAGAGACAAGGACTGAACATAATGCTTGGATCTACAATCTTTGGACCGAGGTATGTTCTTTTGAGGTATACTTGGAGCTTCTGGCTGTCAGGCTTCATTTAATCAGTATCCATGTCGCTGTATTTTGCCAGTAATGGAACATTGACAGCCAGATGCCCAGGGCTTTGCGCCTATCCACCGCAGGACTTCCGATTGGACCTCTCTGCACGACCAAAGAATAGCGCAGAGCTGGTGGCAGCTTGGTAGAAAGATTACCCTGCCACCAAACTGTACATTGTCAGTAGAGACTGACAGACCAGCCTTAGTAGAGGGAAAGCATGTTTCCAACTACACCGAGAGGTTATCATGTTCGAAGAATGGATCAGCATCATTCCAAAGTCTACAATGTTCACAATTAAGCTTGTCTTTACGTGAACAGGAGACGTCATTTGTGGACAAGAAACACTGGGCTGCGATCCTCTTGACACGCTGCAAGCTCCTCCTAGGATGGTTATCCAACCTTCTTGTCAAGCTTTCCATTGTCACAATGCTACATGCATTAGCATTATCTAGTAGCAAGGAGTCAAATTCACGTCAAGCAGCACAAACACTCACCCAGGAAAGGTACTGTAGGCCATTTGAGGATTTCAAACTCAGGAGGGTCTGCACAGTGGAGCTGTTTGCTGAGGATGTCTATCTGGGCCTAGTTTGCATTTTCGAACTGCTCGATCCGAGGAGAAGTCCAAGGTGGACCCGGAGAAGTTTCGGATTTGGCACGTGGGAGGCCGTGCCAACACGTGTCTTGCCGACAGGGTTGCTGGTGGGAGACCTGATTGGAAAGACGGCCTGCTTGAAGCCGTTCGGATCTTGCACTTTGGGTGAATTTGACAGGCTGCAATTCGCTCGTGAGAGACTTTGATGTAGCCACCATGGCCCTTCAAACCTAAGCATCCCAACGATCGTGCCTTCATTTTCTCTCTTTGCCAGGAAGGGTTGTGTTGGATGATCTGGCATTGAATCGCATTAGCGGAAATGTGTTGAAATGCGTTGCTGCATGACCTGAGCCACGTCAAAACACCTCCATGAAGAGTTCTCCATGGTTGTCCTGACATACCCCCCGCGAAAGGCAAAATTAAAATCGTGAAAGCTTCGAGAAAGGTATTGCGAAGGACATCATAAACACAGGGCTGCAAAAGAAATCATACAGTATGCGAAAGGATGTTTTATTTCGGATGACCGCAGTCGCGTTTTAGGGCTGAACAAATAGTGTATGCCCATTAAAGGCAAAACTGTGGTCACGAAAGGACCCCGATAGCTTGTTGCGAAAGGATGCTATAGGATTACAAAACCGAGTTAGGTTTTTTCCGTCGGTTTATCGATTTTCCCACGCCTTTTCAGTAGGGAGACGCATGGAGCCACTGCCGAGGCCGTTGTCCTATTGGAAGGCCTGGAAGCGGGCAGATCTGCAGACGCGTCCAGCCACTACCGCCGGACACGTGCGAAGCTTTCTAGCTGCTTGGAAGGTGGTTCAGTTGGTCAAGGAATCCAAGACTTGTGCTGCTTACAACAAAGTCACCTAAAAGCCAAGCTCCATTGAAAGAGGGTACCATAGAACACGTCTGAACTGGGTCACTTCTGGTGTCGTTTTAAAGGTCAGCAGATTTTGTTGGGAGCTTATGATTCGAGGCGGTTGTGGAGTGTGTGGAGTGTGGCTTGCAGTGCCCACTTCAGAGGTGTTTTCTTGCTTGCATGGTCTATTATGTTTGCAGTGAGCTCGAATGACCAAGCAGGCTTGACCCATCGTCGCGCGTTTGATTATCCTTTTTGGCCCACGCCTCCCATGGGCGACACGCTCAGGCCGTGGGCCCAGACATTGCAACGGGCGTCCAGGTTGGGGTTAGTTTTTGGTGCTGGGTCATTGGGAGAATGTGTAACATTGTGTAATGCCAGTCACTAAGCTACAAACTCAAGCCCAATAAACCGATCATTTTCATGGATCTCTCTGTGGGTTCTATCTGCATGGTCAGTGCATTCATGAGCAGGCAGCTGGCAAGATGTCAAGAGGTTCTGTCTTGACAGAGATCCAGATTTGGAAGGGGAAGTGGGGAATCCCTCCCAACTGGTTGCCTCACCTTGGCTCTACAAGAACAATGCTTTGTACCACTCTGAATAACCAGGGGTTTCAATTGCGAGCAGCTACACTTTGGATTCTGCATCCTCGACGGACTCTGGGCATCCTCGACGGACAGCTCCGGCTCCAGAAGACTCGACCCTTGGACGGCGCCTGGATCTCCAACGAAGATGGCTCCCTACGGGGAGAAGTCCAAGGGGAGCGCGACAAGCGTCGTCGCACGACGGCTCGCGTCGGCGCGGAAGCGGGGGGTGCACCGGGGTCAAACAAGTGGAGGTTTGGGAAGAGTGGAGAAAAGCCATTATATACCTGGTAATAGTATGTAATAGTGAGTGGCTGCCAGATAGGGTGGTATGGCATTATGGGCTATGGGTCATAAAATCATGCTCAGCATACTACATACTTTTGCTTCCACAAGTCTCTTGTTGAATCGGTCGGCGCCTGGCACTGTTCGGTTCCGGTGTGTGGATCTGGTGTTCTTTTCTGCGCACCATGGGCAAGGTCACTGTGTGTTGCGACAGAGTTGACACTTGTTGCGACATAGTTCGTCAAGAACATCCACATACATCCACTCCGGGAAAAAGCAGATTTCTAGTGATTGCAGCTAGCTTCAACTCCGCACAGAAGGCGCCTCCTATCGTAGTCAGATGTCCAGGAATGATGCCTGGTCACTAATAGGGAGTAGTGCATCTTGTACCCACGGCCCAGGGATGTCTACGTTTTGCTCTATTTTTTCATCTGCTCTCTTCCCTTGCCGTGAACTGTGTTGGTGTTCACAGACGAGTGACCGGGCCGCCCTGGGTCAGGAGGTTTTCCACTGGGCGTGCGATGGCACCGCGTCGCGGCTTCACTTTTCGGGCGAGACTTGTCAGCTGGATGGAACCGTTGGTGGCTCAACTCATCACTGCGGTCGCGTGGCCCAACCATAGGATCCCAAAAGGTATGTGACCATTGTGACATGGGGCCCCTGGGCTCTTTGGTTCATTTGTTGACCTCAACTATGGTCATTTGGGTCAAGACCCACAGTCTCGACATGTCTCCACAGTTGATTGCGCTCTGTCTCACAGCCTTTCAACGCTTCAAACTCTCCTCGCAAGTCGACAGGATCATAAGACATGGTCAAACAAGCGACCCGCCAATGGCTACGCGGCTACGAGGAAGTCCATGGAAAAAACCAATCCCTCCAACGAACCTCCCAGGGTTCTTCTTGGTTGTGAAAGTGGGATCGGAATACTTCACTACTTCACGCACCATGGGCTTTCAGAAGCACACCAGCACCCAAAAGAACCAAGCACCCAGGAATCCAGGAGCCAAACTGAGAGCAGTATATACAACAATCCGTCTAAGAGTGTGCTTCTCAAGCGGCCAAAACACGGCCCGAAAGGACTTCTTCCCAGCAAACCCAGGAGCGTCAGGAGAACTTGTGCCTCATGGTGGACGGCGTTCGCCACTTCGCGGTGTTGAGCCTGGATGGCCGACGGATCAGCTGGGCGGATGGCGACGTGTGGCTGCGTGCGGAGAGCCTGGATCCAGAGGAGGTGGCCTTCCAAGAGACGGTGAAGACCCAGTGCGAGAGTTCTCAGAGGCCGAAAGCCGAAAGCCGAGAGGTTTTGATTGGATTGATTTGATAGGTCTTCTAGGTGTGAAGAGAAGCGATATATTGGGTTTCTGGACTTGGATTTATGCTTCCAAAACACCCAAACACAACAGTGTCAGTGCAGATACCTGCAGGTCACAGGAGAAGCTCAGTCTGGGGGCCCAGAATGATCGACCTCAGCCCTGATCTGTGTCCACAATGCCCTGTGTCCACAAACCCGTTAGTTTGCTCCTAGTAGCGATGCCCCTTTGTTCCTAGTCCGCGATCCAGTGCCCCTGAGATCCGTGGGCGTCCGAAGGCGAAGATCCGCTGATATCCTCAGATGCTGTGCTGACACATGCTGACACTGATGTGGCCCTCAGTTTCAACATGGAAGTAGCCCCTCTTGGCAACTTTTTTCAGGGCCCCTGTTCAACTTTGTATAGTTGCTACAAGCTAACGACATCACTTAACAGTTCCCGAGCCACTATCCGAAACAACCTATTCAATAACATGATCAAGAATCAGTTCTATAAGAACACCACTATATAATCGTTGCTTTTGTTCATTGTTCACAAAATCTTACCATTCTTTCTGCACTACGCTGAAGGATCCCAACCCAGACGTGAGAAATCAGGCACGTCCACGGAAGGCTAGTCCTTCGGGGATTCAGGTCCTTCGGACCGAGGCTGGTCTGAGTGGAAGCTCTGTTGGCGGCCCAACTCAGATGGCCCTGCATGGCCCAGGCGAGGCCGGTCACCGGTGGTGATAAGCACCAGTGATGTGCACATGATCGTGAGTAGATCCAAACCCTCAAGAAAAGCACGAGAATGTATGTATATATATATATTATATATATATATATGTTATATGGTATATCCCTGTATATATCCTCACATTTAGGAACGGATTGGTTGATGGTGACTTTTCCGACCCACAGTTGGGGTGAGTGTATGGCAAGTCATGCTCAGTCCCTTGAATCTTTGGCTGTGAAACACTTAGACGTGCTCCTGGTCGTGTCTTACATTTGAGCTAGTTTGACCATTTGAACGATCGGATAGATTCGGATAGATTCCCTGTTGATGAGGCTTGACGGAGTTCCGCTAGGGAGCCCTTGGGGTCAGGTCAGGAATTGCATCACTGAATCTATAAAACTGTACCTTCAGAGATGCCAGCGAAGACCTTGTCGTGATGTTCATCACATTCTGGATCACTCAGGGGGTCAGAAGATGCTACTAGTAGTAATGCCCTTTGTTCCTAGTAGCTTCTTGCTCCTAGTAGTAAGGCCAGGAGATACTAGTAGCATCCTTGCTCCTAGTAGATGGATTCCTTTCCTTCTTCCCCACAATTGACTAGTGAATCGCATTCTGACTGGTTGCAGCTTGTCTAAGACACAGTGGCGGTGGTACTTTTGGTCCAGCGCCCTGGTCCCCTATCCAAACATCGCGCGTGCTGCAACTGGGTCTTCAAGAAGGTAATCAGACGCAGTGGCCCATGCAAGCCTATTCGTTACTATCGTCCTTGCATGTCCTTGCTACTAGTAGCGACGCCCGGGCTCCTAGTAGCGATGCCAGGAGCTACTAGTAGCTTCTTGTTCCGTCCTACAGTCAGCAGACGACCTTTTGGCATGTTTCAACTGATGCATGTTGAAGTCCGCCCATGAATTCATCCTGAGTGCCTCGACGGAACGTGCTTTCACGTGACCGGACGACTAGTTCCAAGAATTTCAGGAGAGACTTGAAGCCGTGGACGACACTCGGTGATCGCTTTCCTTAAAAACATGTCAAGACTTTGCTGACACTTCTCTCTGTGCCTCTCCGTGCCCATGGCCCATGGTGAGCGGCTTTGCTGCGTTGGGGCGGGCTGCGAGGGGATCTCAGGTAGAGTCAAAATCAAAGACCACGGGGAATGTGTATATATATATATATACACACACACATTTTTTGGACCCCAGTGGCTTCTTGAGAATCATCTCTTGGACGATTTATTGAATCATGTGCTGTTTGCCGAGTCCATTTGGTCACACTACCAGACAGTAACTTCATGTAACTTCAATTTCCTGGGTGGAGCTGGTTATTCAACCAGCTTCTACCGTAAGTTCAATCCACTTCGATGATTCCAGGGAGTGTATTGCTTTTCTCCGATTGGTTAGGCAACGGTTAGGTCGAGGGAGTGCACGACCCAGAGTGCTGCGAAGCAGCCAGCCAGCGTGGTCCTTTTCATTCTCGCATGGATTAGATTGGTGAAAATGGGAGCTTTCTCATTGTGTGCTCTTTCCTAAGAAACGATCTGTTATGTTGCTTCCGAAATGATCCAAGTGCCGTGCTTTTGGGAGGTCCCAGTTTGTAATCACCAGACATGGCTGCTTACAGCTTGCGCCCTTCAAGTTCCAAGCAAAATTCCACCTGCCTCATGGATGTCCATCATGTACTGGCATACCTCTGTCAGAGATTGTGAGAGATGTTTGACCCACATGATGTTTCTCAAGAGGACACTGCGCATGGGCCGCATGGGTATGGACTCTGCGTTTTTGGTTCCTTTTTTCATTCCCCATCTCCACGCCCAGGGATTGCTCCCTGTAGCGTGGCCGTGCTGATCAAGGTGCACCGATCGGAGGTGGATTGGGACGTGGTGGGTTTTCGGCAGAAAGAACACCATTGTGTGTCTTTTTCGTTGGCACGATTGAAATTTAAGGTAGAAGATTCTTGCTTTCCTGAATTTGAGAGGAAGCAATCCTTTAGTTGCAGACCGTCACTTGTCTTATGATCTGTTCAAGTCTATGCCTATGCCGCATTCATTCCGAATCTAAAGCTATGCAGCTACGCTAGCAAGGCTTTGGCAGCAACAACATGCAATTGTCGGTCCAAGTCAGTCCGCAGTTCATTTTGATTTTGCTAATTGTCTCCTTTGTCAGCATGTGACAGCATTTGATGCTTGTGCAGATCATCTGACATCCGCACTAGGTCAATGCTGCAGCTACGCTTCTGCCGCCCCCAGACGGTGTCAATCATAGATTCGCACTGACCAGTAAATAACTCGTCTTCTATAACAATGCGGACGGTTGATGATTAACACCCTTTCCGTATCCCTCCAATTGGATTGTAAACCCTCTTCATTTTGGGGATTTCATCAACCGTCTACAGTCTACATTGCATCAAATTGTTTGTGTCTGCTCTTGGTCAGTGTTGTTCACTATCTTCAGTTTCTTTCGCTTCAATGAGCAATGGAACTTGATCAGTTTGTATCCCCTGGACCCAAGGCACATCCCAGCGATGGATGAAGAAGCCCAAATCTCAGCGCCCAACTCGGCGTTTCGGCACTCAGACTCCACGAGGAAGTAACCCCCCCTTCTTTTTTTCTCGACAAATGAGGGACGTACTCTGCCGTGACCAACCGGAAAACCTGCACGGTTTCGACCGCGCTTGCACACGTGTTTGATCTGACTGATGTTGCTCCAGCCGATATGGACACCCACAAACAGGGTTCTGCAGGGGACAGGATCTAACAGGATGATGAGGATGGATATTGACCACTGGGCACGCTCATATTCAGGTGATGTTGGGCTTAACTTACACTCCCGAAAACTAACATAGACCCTGACAATGGTCCCATGGAAGACTATTTTCCTCTACCAACCAGGGGTTGTCAGGTTCCATGTTAGTCTTCCAGGGTGTAGGTGTTCATGATCAATGTCTGATATGTTTTGACAGGGGTGAGGGCCAAATATATACTGAAAGGATGGTTTGGACATGACCATTGGGCAATAGTTCTCATACACCCAAAGTCAGATTGACGCATGATTGGGCCAATTGCGCGGAGACTTGCATGGCCTTGACAGGTATCCTAAAGGAAGACATGTTTTGAAGGCCACGAAGGCATTTAGGTGGCCTTTCAGGTGGCCTTGCATTTAGGCCTTGAAGGAAAACATGTTTTGTTTGCCAGTCTCCGGATTCAAACGCCAGTCTTCTTCGTCAGCAAATGATCCGGACGATTTTGCCATGCGTTGGCTGGTCGGTTGCGGGGTTCGGGAAGTGCACTCCGAGGCTATGGTCTGCCTTGAAGCCGCAAGGAGTGACCTGCGACGACCCGAAGAAACGCCTGCGATAAACTGAAAGAATCACATGGGTGGTCACTCAGTTGAACCAACATAGAGACAGAACATGAACATGAGCACCCCCTTTGAAGGATAAAAGAGGGCAATCTACATGTCCTTTCTCCATCTCTTGAAGTGAGCACTCTACTTTTTCAGAGTGGGTCCCCATCAAAGGATGAGTCACCGAAAAGGGTCATTTGCGTGGCGCCAAGGTTGGGACCCCGAGCTAAACCGAGCGAGCTACCCAAGCTAAGCTGGCCAGGAAGCTTTGGTAGCTGGGCAGCCATCTTGCAAGGCAGTTTGGCAGAGGCCGTGTCTGCGGTGTTTCTGCGTGAGGTCGGACGTATGGTAGAAACACACTTCAGTACCCCCCGCCGCTACGAACGCAGAGACCTTCTTCCACTTGGAATTGAAGTGATGAATCTGGTACGGAGGTATGAGCCATATCTTTGGCCTAACACCTTGGAGTTCTCGATTTTGTGACATGGGGCCCACATCGACATCTAGCGGCATCTCCGAAGGTATGCTCTCACCTTTGGCATCATCAAGTCCGGCTGGCATGCTTTGGCAAACATGCAGAACCAGGTTCTTGTGCAAATACACACAGACACTTTCTCCCTCTTCTACTTATGAACATGCAATGCTGCAATCATGACGCAATGACAGTGGCTTGGAAACGAGAACATGTGTCCACTTTTTCAATCCATTCCTTGTTGCTCACTGCTGGGCTCCAGCTTTTTAGCATTGATCTATTTCAAGTTGCTCAGCGCCAGGCCCTCTTCTTCGAAGTGGGTGACGAGCACCTTGAGGTCCAGAAACCCCCAGCAACATCTCTTCCTTCTTGGTGTCCCCCCATGACGGATTCGATGAGATCGGGGTTCAAGCTGAGTTGAACCTGAACATAGACCTTGCAAGATGACGTTCCTCTACAAACCAGTGGTCTAACCACGGTTCTGTGTCTCCGTGGAGGCCAACGGGCCATATGACAGCCAACGGGCATCAATGGGCCATGGCGGACCCTAGGCAGTTTGTATCGAGTCACTTGGGCCCATCAACGTGGGTAGCTCAAATAGGGAGACCGGAAGCTTCGGAAAATAGACCACAAGCCATTGGTGGGGTTTCCCTACAAACCCACATGGGCCAGAGAAGATTTGGGGGTGACACCTAGTGATAAACCTTGTTCTTGAAGTTTTTCTCCGGGATTAAGCCAGCCTGGGACGTGGGTTTGGGACGTGGCTTTGGGACGTGATATCACTTATGCACTTGGCCAGCAGGTGCCTTTCTCCGAATTGCTGGACCCCTCCACAGACTTTGCCAACGCGGGCAGATATGTCCCGGGACCCAATGGGACCCGTGGAAGAGACACACAATCACGATGAGAGGAAAGGACCTCGTTACACTACCATATTCTTGATGTATTGGTTATTATTTATTACGTCTTCCAACACAGCGGTCTTTTTCGGCAACATCATCGGTGGAGCTGAATATCTCGGATGCGTCATGGTGGGCCTGCACAGTTGATCTTTTGGGCAAGAACTTGGGTTCTCAGGGCTGTGTTTTGAAGTCCAGGTTCGTCGAATCCCCAAAGAAAGATCTCTTTCGTCGGAGGGATATGAAACGCAAATCAGCTGCTCAAATGATTTGGCGAAGAGATGAAACCCAGAGCTCCGCAGGAAGTTTCAAGAATGAGCCAAGGTGGCCTTTGCTGCTGCATCAACAACAAGAAGCTACATGCACAATCCAAGCAAAAAAGAATGATGGCCAATGCTTGATGGAACTTGACAGAGTGGGCGAACAACTCTGCAACTCTCCCACGAGCAAACGAATGCTCCCCTTTCCAGTTTCCTTTGAGTTTCATGACGTTTACGATCTTTTTTTGCATTTTTGGGAATTGAAAACAACCCTTTGACTTCTAGCGCAGGTCAAGCCCAGTTCTAGGCCACTTCTAGCCTTCTCATAGTGGGATCAGTGAGCTACTGATCTTTGTTTAGCTGCCCTTGCTGCCTTCAGCCGATGGGTGATTTGGATGTTGGCGCTACAGTGCGCTTGGTGAACTTGACGAAGGTGACCAGCCGGTGAGGTGAGAGGTTTGTTGCTTTGGCAGAAAGAAGTCCCCCAGCTTGGGCTTAATGTGTGTTTTTTCATGGCTGGCCAGCAGATAGTGCGAATGAGCTTCCACTTACATCGTCACCTTTGCTTTTAGTTGGAAAAGGATACTGCAAGTCATGAGGCTGCATGGATTTGCATCGATCAAACTAGAGAAGCAACATGTAGACTAGACTCTGTTTTGGAGGGGATGTGAAATCATCCACAGAGCTGGAAGAACATGTAAGTTTTTGTAAGTTGTACGTTTTTAATTGTAAGGATGGTCCCAGTCAGACAAGCGAAGATCTTTTAGCCAGCGCAGCAGAAGCGAACCGCAGGAGGACTACAACCATCATTAGGGTCAAGTGGTCTCCGTGCTGCCCAATGGACGCTTGGGCGTTGCGTTGCATGGTGCCATCTGGGCTCAGGACCTTGATGGAGCTACGAACGGAGCAAAGGGCATCGCTACTAGGAACGAGGACGCTACGAACGGGGCTCCTGGCCTTACTACTAGGAGCAAGGAGCACAGTGTGGCTCCTCCCCTTTCGAAGAAAGGACTGGAGGACCTTGCGGAACCGGCTTCAGGATCTGAGGCCTGCCAACCTGTATCCAGATTTACCTTCCCAGGAATGTTGTGTGATATTTGTGCTCTAACGTGTCCAGCATGTCCTGACCATGCGCCAGGACGGTAAATACCACGGAGGGCGCCTTGGAGAGAACGTGCAGGCCAATGTATTCTAAAATTAAATGAAATGTATCTTTTGGGAAGAAGAACTCATGAACAACAGCAAGCCTTTGTCATCAACCATTTTCATCTCCTGACTCTGGTCATACATAACGTTCATCACAACCTGGGGTGGGGCTTGAAAATAAGGACAAACGGTTTGGAGCACTGCTCCACAGTGGGAAAGGACATTCTTTCGTTCACCGCTTCAACTTGGGGTTTAGTACCAAAAAGCCTTTCAATCATCTTCACTCCACATAAACGTTCAGGGAAACCTAATTATACGGGGCTTTGTGGTCTTCCGAATCCACTCGTTTTCTGTGTTGGTTTCTGCTCCAACTAATTACCATCAACTGGTCTACCAGGAATACGCATGTCTTTGTGGCAATTTTTCAGCCCACACCAAGCGGCCCCTCAAATGCTCCGCCTGAGGCACTCGGAGCGCTTGAGCTTCAAGCTGGAGAACCTCCGTGTGGTGCTGTTCCTCGCCGACTCGCCATGGAGAATGGACTTTGCTCTTTTGTCTTTGGAGGTCGTTTTGCAGAATGCTTAGGGAGAGAATGCTGGCAGTTGAGGCACGAAGAGAAGAGCTGCATTTCGGGGGATGAACATGTTTCAAGCAAAGCAACCAACCTGTTGAGAGACTTCCTTTAAGTCTCAATCAGTTGAAGCTAGTTGAAGCAATGTCGAGCAGCTAAAAAGGGCCCAATGGAGCAGACGAGTGCAGAGAGCATTTCTGGCGCCCTCAGGCGACCAGCACCAACCCAGCTGCCGGTGTTGGATAGCATTGCCCGTAGAAGCATTGCCAGGTCTGCGAAGAGTGAAGACCCCCCCAAAGAGGGGCAAACAATGTGCAGACCTGTTGGGTGAAGGGGGATCTGACTATGGCTAATTGCGATTTTGTTTCTCCACTTTTTCTTGGTTGGTTGGGATATGATTGGACTCGAAGAAGCTTGTGGATGTTTTGAAAGTCCTTTTGCTTGCGGACGACTTCATTGCAATCATGGTATCGTTGATTTGTGGCTATCCAGCATTATTGCATATTCGTGCTGTTAAGCAGCCATCTTTGTTCCATGGAGCGATGTGTAAATTGGATGTTGTCTGTCAAACTGTTCGGCAGGCTCTTGGGTGACAGTGGCTGGGGGTTGCCAGACAACGTTGTGGCTGGCATAGAGCCTTGACCTGACAGCAGTGAATACGATTTCCAAATAGGGACGGTACAGTAGAGACATGTCCAATTACACCTTTCAAAGGACATCCTTAGTGTTTGTTTCTCTCCAAACCAAGAAAGCTAAACGGACTACCAGATGATGAGCGCCACGGATCCTTCGAATATCATTTCGTCTTGAAGGGCAAATGAAGAGGCTGTGAAACCATGTTAAACCGGGGGTTCCAGTTTCAACTACTCTCACACTGAGCTTGTGGACCTTTTTGGTCCCTCTAGCCGCTATAGCGTAGAAGGGAAGAACGAGAAGACCAGGCAACCTTTTACACATTCAACCGAGCCACACAGCCCAATCTTAGCGACTCTCCCGGAGCGGAAGGCACTGTCATCCAACCAGGTACTAGCAGCGTCCTTGTTACTACTAGTAACAAGTGCCTTACTAGTAGTAACAAGTAGAATTAAACTAAAATTAAATTAAGTAATAGCTTCTTGATACTACTAGTAAGGCACTTGTTACTAGAAGCGATGCACTTGTTCCTAGTAGCTTTTTGTTACTACCATATCCAACCTTTCCTTGTTCTGATCTCAGGCTAGCTTCCTTCAAATTAGCAGCGTCGTGCTGAAAGTCACAGGCTGCTCTTCATGCAGGAGACCGGGAGCACCGAAGGGTTTGGCATAGACGTCGTTTTCTTATGTTTTCTTTTGCCTTTTTTGGTTTTACAAGATGTTGCCCACGGCTGAATGGTTTACAGGGACAATGTCGCGACATTCACATGTGTCACACTACGGCTCAAGACCGGGCTTCTCGGTGCCTTCAGGCGCCATGCGGGTCTTGTCAGCGGTCTCAGGCGAAGCAATCGCCAACTTAAATGCAGATGAGACTGAGGGCAAATCTGTCAAATCGCTGAAGGCGCACTTGGCAGAAGAAATTGGCGTCTCCAGATTCAGACAAAGATGGTTCAGCGAGGATCATGTTGTCTTGCCTGACGAAAGCATCATCTCCCATTCAACTGTACAACTTGTAATTCTTGATTTGGGCCCCCGAAGCCAAGAGCAAGGCTTGAAGCTCATTACTGCCTGTGACGAGAATTGCTGTGATGAAGTCGAAGCGCTCCTGCAGCTGCCTTTGTGTCCGGACGCAGCCAATGAAGCGGGCAGGACAGCGTTACACGCGGCTGCCCTGGCTGGGCATGGGGAATGCTTGGGTTTGTTGCTTGAGGCTGGTGCTGCCAAGAACCAGGAAGACGGCAGCGGGCAGACAGCTTTGCATTTGGCGGCTGAGAATGGGCACCTCGAAGTGGTGCAGCTTTTGCTCGAAGCTGGCGCTGATAAAGAGAAGAGCACTGCGCTTCAAGAAACTGCTTTGTGGCTGGCAGCTGACAAAGGCCACGTAGAGGTCGTGCGGCTGCTGCTTCATGCGGGAGCTTGCAAAGATGTGGGCACCATATTTGGGGCAACGGCTTTACATGCGGCCGCTGGAAATAGTGACCTGGAAATTTTGCAGCTTTTGCTCGAGGCTGGTGCTGACAAAGAGAAAGGGACGGCATTTGAAGCAACAGCTCTGCACATGGCAGCTGGGCGCGGCGATCTGGAGGTTGTGAGGGTTTTGCTTGAGGCCAATTCTGACACAGAGAAGGTCAGATTCGATGGTGCCACAGCATTGCACTTGGCAGCTCAGAATGGGCACTTGGAAGTTCTACACTTGTTGCTAGAGGCACGTGCGGACAAAGACACGGTCTCAGCCAATGGTGGGAAAACGGCTTTGCACATGGCTGCACAGAATGGGCACTTGGACGTGGTGCGGTGGTTGGTGGAAGCTGGTGCTGAAAAAGACACGATCTCCGCACATACAGGCAAAGCTGCTTTGCATTTGGCAGCTCAGAATGGACACTTGGAAGTTGTGAGGCTGCTGTTGGAGGCGGGTGCTGAAAACGTCGTCTGAATAAGTCACTAAGTCCAAACATGTACATCCCTAGCTTTTGATGGAGAGAGGTGGTCCAATGTGACCGCAGTTCAGATGAATGAACAAAAAGAAGAAGCTGGTAAGATGAGTTCCTCTGCGGTTTAACGACAGCCCAGTGTATGGGAATGAAGCTGACTCTGAGGAAAGATTTGCAGGGTTGGCATGCTGGGCATGCTGCCCTGGCAGCATTGCTGATAAGTGCTGCACTTCCGAGACACTCCATGGGACTGGCATATTTACCTACAGTACATTGACCTGTCCAGGTCAACCACCCCAATGTATCTAAATAACTGTAAATATGCCAGTCCCATGGGTCGTGTACGGACTTCTTCATTCATTCTGTGAAAGTTCGATCCGGCGATTTCACCCGTCTCCGCAGGGGTGACTTTCCCATCTCCGCAGCAGCTTGGAGGAAGGTATGGATTTGGGTCACGGTGGATGAAAGTGGCCAATTGGAAGGACCAAACGGTCAGCTCTGCAAGTCACGGCTGATCAATCTAGGAAGAAAGATGGTCAAAGCATGTCGAAGCAACTGTTGTTGAGGGGTGAACAAGGGAGACACGAAGGGGTTCACATAGGGAGGCTTATGGCTTATTCCAAGGAGCTCATTCACAACCCTGTTATGTTTTGGAGCGACTGCTTGACCAATTCCACAGATAAGCATTTGCCCCTCTTTCTTCAGTACTTTCACGCTGGACCCAGTGAGGAGATGTGAGGAGCAATTTCCTTTGTGAGATTCTTGCTCCTAGTAGTAAGGCCGGGAGCCCGTAGTAGCCGTAGTAGCGTCCTTGTTCCTAGTAGCGATGCCAGGAGCCCCTATATAATAGCTTCTTTCTCCTAGTAGCGATGCCCTTTGTTGCTAGTAGTGCCACTTGTTCCTGGTAGCGATGCCCGGAGCGATTTGAACCACCTTGAGCTGAGGTGCTGAACAGCTGCGAAGACGAATGGTGGATCTCTCAGTCCAACACTTGTCGAGGCCTGATGCGTCGCCGAGCCGGAGTGCCAACATGTGCCTATGAACCATTATTCCCCACCTGCCAGGTGAGGCTTATTAGATTTTATCAGAGCTGTCCCCCCCCCCTCTTTTTTTTCTTCTTCTTCTTCTTCGTCTTTTTCTCCACCATCCACAACTAGACACCCTGGAGACAGGCCCTGGAGATACCAAATGCGCCTCATGAGGCATTTTCATGCAATCTGTCCTCTGCAGGTGGGATCGGCTCGGAGTATTTGGAATTCACGTTGAGCGTCCTGCGCCGCGTGTCCTTCATTGCCCTGAAGATTCCACCTTTGCCATACGGGCCCCTCTCAGTCCCTTGGATGGAAGCTTGGGATGGAAGAGTCACAACGATTAGCCATTTGGTATATCTGTTCAACTATTCAAACCATTCCTTTGAAGACTTTTTCTTTGCAGGCCCAACATATGCACGAAGCTTTGAAACGCAGGCTTAGTAGCTTAATCCAGGTGTACTTGGAAATGGACCTGTACCAAAACAAATGCACGTCTTCAGAATCGAATTCTTGGGGTTGCAAAGCAGATGCTCTTCGAACCTTGATGCCAGCACTTCTTGGGTGGTTGTGAGCTTCCTTCGCCGAGATGCAATGATTCTTTGAAGCAGACAATCCAGGGCCTAGTCTTACCTGAGAACCAGCAAACTCGAGAAAAGGCAGCAAGGGTTTAAACCGAAGAGAAGAAACATGGCCGCAGCATTCGGCACTCGACTCCACTCGACACCACCCGACAGGTGCGGGAGTTCCACCTCTTGTGCACTGATGAGTTGGCGCCTGAGGAGCACAGCTGGCGAAGGTGTTCTCCACAGCTGGTGACGTTTCGCGTTTGATCAGGGAGGTGGAAAGGGAGCATGGGAAGATGGAGGCTTCACCCCTAAGGGCTTACTGTAATTGTGAGGGAGCCTGCCTGGATGTCCATGGTTTATTTGAGGAAGCTTTGGAATTCCAAGTGCATGCCTTTTTGATTGGAACCCTGGCCCTACCCTTCGGCATTGCTGAACAAACATCCGATGAAGGCCATGGGTCATCTGAGAGGTTTATGACATAGTGACATAGTGCAGCTACTAGTAATAAGGGCATCTACTAGTAGCGATGCCCTTTATGTGATTTTTGTTATTTCGACCAAGCACCTCTTTGAAATTGACATTTCGCATGGTGCCTGACGCAAAAACTGAGAGTCCGTGTCCGGGAGGGAGAAACAAAGCAAGGGTGAGGACCTTTCTGTTTGTTCCACCGGAACTCAGGCTGGATCGTGGGGATATGTGTCTTGGCCGCCAAGGTTACATGTTTTGGCTACTGTACCAGGTCACCTTTTACCGTCCAGGCGCTGATATGGAACATGTTCAAAGTTATGTACGATGGAAACTGATGTAGAGACACTCACCAAGCCTGATTATAGTTATTGACCAAACATATCATTTCCCTTTGGGGGATGTGAATGCCCATCCGCGCGATTAAACGTTTCCAGTGATACGCTGCACACCACGCTGAAGACCAGGCATGTGCTGTCATCCAACATGATTGTAAATAGCCCTGGGCCTGGGAAAGACAGCTCTTTGTTGGACATTGAGATTTTCATAGTGCATCATCTCGACCGTGAAACATGCGACTGACTGACTGACTGACTGACCGACGGACTGACTGACAGACGGACGGACGGACTGACTGCCTGACTGACTGACTGACTGACTGACTGACTGATCGACCGATCATATGCACATTCTTCGCAGCAGTAAACGCTCAACGAAGTCGCCGCGGGCTTTGATGGTGTTTCGCTGTGAATTTGTGAGTTTAAGATCTTCATGGAGAACCAGCTACCCTTGATGGTTGGTTTTGTGTCGATTCTTCATTGACAGTTGAAGTGAGATGTCAACCCGGAGGCAAGAATTTGCTCTGTGTCCGCCGATCGAATGCCGGAAGCTGCGCTTGATGTGCACGAAGAATGCGGCGGCGACCTCCGCAGAAGACGAGGAGTATCGGCTCCTGCGTGAGGAAGCCTAGGGTGGGGAGATGTGTCTCAACGTGTCCCAAGAACATGGGCTTTCATGGAGTGTTTTTTGTGTTTTCTCGCGGCAGCTTTTGTTGGAGTCGGATGTAGGAGTATATATATATACACGACACGTATGATCAATGTCTAATCAGAATAATGTCAACTCACATCATTTGGAGGACAACATTTCACTTGCAATGATTTCCTTGTCAGTGTGCTTTGTTGAAACACATGCAAATTCCTGCAAAGAATAATACAGCCGGCTTTCTGAAAAAAGGGAACCGGAGGTTGGTGTGTAGTATCAGCGGCACATATTTTCCACATAGTACTCTGCTGGATTGGGGCATATCCGTCAATACTCGGGAGTGGAAAGACTGGTATTGGTCACTGAGGTGGAGGAAACTGCATTGGCCTTTTTCAAGTGACTTGGTGAGAAATGACACACATATGTGAAGCCGCAGCTTGCTGTGCTCACTTGATTGCCATAGTTGAGGGTCCCTTTGGGGATAGGTAGTGACTGACTTATGTACTATACTAATCTATACTAATGTTCGCTTCATTTTGGTGCTTTATGTGTTGTGCAAATGGTAGAGTTAGGCAGCAGACACAGTCGATCCTTGTAGTAACCCAGCTGCCGAGGTTGGTTTTGCATGAACCGGCGACGGCTGAGATCTCGTGCTTGTTTCAAAGATGTTGCTTTACGCCAGCAAGCGACCAGTTGCTTCACAGCTCAGTGTCACAGGTTTTTCCCCTTCAAGGTGGGGCTTGTTCCAAATCCCCAATTCTCCAGGACTCTTGGCAAAGAACTTCTCAGCAGCAGGGGAAGACCCAATTCTGGCTGTGTTTTCCACCACCGCTGGCACCGTTCTCGGGCCGTTTTGTGTTTTCAGGCCCCCTGTGACCGTCGGAGCGTCCACCTGTGACCGTCTCCGGTTTCCCATTTTGGTCAGTGATAGAATGCGAAAGAAGTTCCTGGAGACGTGATGAAAGAAGGTTCTAGTTCAACAGCCTGTTGAGCACCATGTATTCAAATGAATTCTGCAAATGATGGGCAAACTGGTAGAGGACATACTCATCTTCCAAATGAGCAAGAGGCCTTACTACCAGGAACAAGAAGCTACTAGGGGCTCCTGACCTTACTACTAGGAGCGAGGACGCTACTAGGAGCTTCAGGTGCTTTTCGGATTCGTCAGGGCATTCCTTCACTCGTTCGATGATCTCGACGTGGAACTCCGAATGCGAAAAGGCAACCAGGCTGAGCCGTCTCGCACGGTCTCGCACTTGTCCTCCCTCCAGTGCCGAAAAGGCATTCACAGTGTAAAGGGTCTGGGTGTAATTTCCTCGTTCTGCTCATGTTAGGGTCCGTCTGTGAATTTTACATAGGCTTTATACCCAGTTGATTGTGGTTTTGGGCCAAACAGAGGAGGGCATTAAATCTGAGACCACCACCAAATCACCCTCAAGTAGATATTGGATTGGATGACGTGTTTCAGTCTTTAAGGGGTCTCCCAAATTGAATACACATCCTCTTTTCTTTTGTAGGTCTTTTGTAGCTTGGTTTATGACTTGACTGTTCAGATGAGCCCAGCTGCCCCGTTTTCTCGCCCAGGCTCGAGAGGTCTCCCTGCAGGAGGAGCAGTTTCTGGGCCCAGCTTTTCAAGTCGGTGGTTGGTTCGGGTGGACAACTTTTGCTCTAGGAGCAAGGAAGCTACTAGGGGCTCCTGGCCTTACTACTAGGAGCAAGGACGCTACTAGGGGGCTCCTCACACCAGGATTCTAGAGGGTAGTTGGTGAAACTTTCTGAACTTTGCTTCCTCAAGTTTCTTCAAGGTCAGACCCTGATCAATCGGACTCGTCGATTTCGGCGGGATGCAACCGGCCAAAGGCCCTTGGAACAGCAAAAGATGAACAAAGAACAAGTATCTCATTCAATCCAATGTGTTGCCAACATTTGTGCATCAACTTATTTCTTAAGCGAGTGTGTAAGGCCCTGCTAAGCTGCAGCTTCCGGATTTAATCAACGTCATGTGGGTGATTCGCCTCCAGATTGGTAGCCGCAAAACATGAAATTATCTTCATCCGCCACCCGCCGCATTGTCTACGCCAAATCCCTATGCCTTCGCCGCTGAGGTTCCTTGGAAGCGGAGGCCTGGAAGAGTTGCAGGATGTTGGAGACCTGGTCCCAATCATGTCGGGACCTACATGTCGGGTATGAAGAGGGAACCTTTAGTATGGTGCTTGTGCACTTGAGGGTTGCGAACCAACTGTTTTCCGCACCAACCTTCTTGCAGGTATGGAAGGTCCATAGCCGCTTCGTTTTTGAAACAGCTTAAGCAGCTAGAAAGTCCAGTGCCCTGGTGCGGCTCAGCAGCAAGCGGCTCAAGCAGATGGGTTCATCATATGCCATGGTTCCCATCGCCATCCAATCTGTGAGTGGCCAAGAACTACTCTTGGAAGCCCAGCGACAAGTGCGTGACAAGCGTCGTCAAAGGATGGTTGCTCTAGCTTGAGGAGAACTGGAGCTATATATACACCCAAATATCTTCCATTGACAGTAGAAGCAGCGTTTGGACGACCAGCGACCAACCCGATCTTGGTACGGCACCCATATTATTAGTATCACTGCCAAGAGAGTGTTTAGGGACGGTCGATGTTGAAGAGTTGAATCTTCAAGGGACAGCACAATTCATAGGGTCTTGGCTCTGTCCCCTACGAAGCTTACCTAACTTCCGTCGCCAAGCAACGGCATAATGGGCTTGAGTTTGCCGCAGAACACTGGGATCTTCGGATCTTTGGATCTTCGCCTTGACAAGGCCGTGGAAGAAACCAGCCCCTTTGATCCACTGCAATGCACCCCCTGGTTTCGTCCCTCTTTGCCCAGCCATCCTTTCGAGGATGTCTCGGTGGGAGAGTCGATCCACGATGTCAAGCAAAAGATCGAGAGCCTGGGCCTGACAACGACAGTCGAAACGTGCGAAGCATCGCGGTTCCACTGGTCAGGTTGGCCGCCGGGTGAGCGCACCGCCGTGGTAGTGCACAGCACGTGTCCTTTTCGCTGCTCGAAGGCAGAGCTGCAGCCACAGTGGAAACTAGTGAACTGGACATGGAGACCGGCAACACACACACACACACCAAATCCTGATGATTTTCAGCTACAGAATAAGAGTTAACCTACATGACCTACATGCGTGTCTCACCATAGGGCGAGGATCCAAAGCCGGACAGATTGTTCAACACCGAAAGGGCGAGGATGTATGGATATGATATATCTGTAATTATCTGTATATATCTGTATAACCTCATTGAAATGAATCGAAATGATGCATAAGCCTTGTGGTCCCCACCCCGTTTAGAAGCTAGATGAACATGAAGTCGTTCCCCGGCGATCAGTTCTTGCACCACAAATTGAGTCGAGGACTAGCTGGGGACTGCCGATCTTCTGCCAACGACTGCTGAAGAAAACTGAGGAATGCTCAGATTCTTGGCAAGAAAACCAAGCAAGTAATGCGAGAACCGTATTAATAAGGGCCCCCCCTCACCTTTTTTTAAGTTTTTTTGGGGTCGTAATTATAAGACTGGTAGTAGTAGTAGTAGTAGCAGTAGTAGTAGTAGTTCTTCTTTTTTGGCGAGTCGATTTTATAATTATGGTTCTCCAATGGTCAGTGTGGCTAATTATGGACCCTTTTTGGTCGAATACTAAATCAAAATTGATCTGTTTCTTTTTTTTGAATTTGGTTCGATAAGTATGTTCTCCGTGCTAAATACTATTCTAACATTATCATAAGAGGAAAGCAGGCTAAATTTGGCAGACGAAGGATAGCTGAGATCCTTTGAATGCTTGTGAGGGCCACCGTGAATCTTTAAAGCATTTAGATGCTGTGAATCGTGGCGTGGTTCTATCACAGGGGTTCTGCAGACCTCGAGCTACACGTGGAACCGATTTCATTAGAACAGGCACAGTCATGTGTACTCCACAGCAAGGCTTTATTATGCTTTTCAGCAGTGACGCGAAGCCCATAGCTAGAATCTAGATGAATCTAGAATGTCCTTTGACGAGTGGAAATCTCACTTCTTTGATTGGAAAGGCAGTGCACAGGTGTCGTGGGTGACCATTTTTTCTCGTAAAGGGCAACAATAACACAACTTGTCCTTCTAAGCAAACCAGAAGGCCTTGATACAGATGGATGTCCGATCAATGGTTTTTGCAGGATATCTACTGTCTGCAGGAGAAGGATGCTGGCTTAGAGTCTTGGCTGGCAACGCACTCTATGGCGACCATGATGCCAGTACCAATCAAGAACAAACAGATAAAGTCCTCAACAACTCAATAACCCCCAACAAAAAAAAGATAAAGCCCTCAACAATAAAGATTAAGCAATTGAACTTTGATATATATATATAAATAGTTACATATATATATATACACATGTTTGATATCATTTCCCTCCACGAATGAATGGCACGCATGGGTCACACTGTTTTGATCGAACCATGAGGAGCTGCTGTGCTTGATCTCACTGGAACGGCCACTTCAGCAGCTCAGCTGTGACCTGGTGGCAACAATGGGGGAGTCGGAGATTTGCGTGTTGGGTCGGGAAGAGGCACTGTTTCTTTTCTTTATGTGACTAAAAGTGTGGCAGATGCCAAAGTCGCAACTGCAGTCAATTGGCCGCATCTGCATCCTGGTGCAGTTTTGGAGCGAATCCCTGCTTGCCATCAAAGACACCAAGCTTAGATAACTTAGCGACGCATAAGACACGTACAGCCTCAGATCCAAGTGTAGCAGTCCTTGGAGTCACGGACTCAGAGATGATCCCTTTGGCCTTGGGCCTTGTTGGCCCTTGATCATACTCATGCATGCTGCATCGCACTGCAATCGCACCCAGCAGCCAACGTGATGCAAGGCCCAATAGCCAAAATTGGTTTTGGTGGCCAGAAACTGGTTCGAATGAAACATGTGGAATGGAAACATCCCACTCCAACTGAAACCCAAAGACACTGCAAATTGTCGTACCCTTGCCCACTCAGAATCCCTCTTTAGTATTCTTTGGTGTTTTTTACTTCCCGGAAAAGTTTTCTGTCAACACCAGGACTCGCAACAACAACAGCAACAACAAGGTACAAACAAAAACTGCAACCCCGTTACAACATATCTTCTTCCTTTGTCTCTACAGGGGGTGGAAACAAAAACTGCAGCCTTGTCGTTGTTTTTTGACCACCCAAAAACAACCAGCCAACAGGTACTTTTACCAGATGTGGTGGTGGTTGTAGTACTAGTGGTAGAAGTTACTATATAGTGCTAGTGGTACTAGTACTAGTGGTAGTAGTTACTAGTGGTACTAGTACTAGTGGTAGTGTTAGTAGTTGCTAGTGGTGGTGGTAGTAGTAGTAGTAGGAGTAGGAGTAGGAGTAGGAGTAGTAGTAGTAGTAGGAGTAGGAGTAGGAGTAGCAGTAGTTGTTCTAGAGGTATGTTTTGCACTGTCATACTTATTGTAACTGCATTAAACAAACCTCTGTAAAACGTCTACTTAGAACCTCGACCAGCCCTTGTTGTTTTTTGTTGATCCGCCGCAGAACAACACCTCAAAAAAGAAACGGACCAACCAAGACTTACGTGACGCAACTACAACAAGTCCAACCACTTAGCAAACTAACATTTTTTCAAACCTTCCACCCTATCCCTAACAGTGTCCCTTTGAAATCCCTGACTTGCAACATGTTGGGCGGCTGTTTTTTGTTAACAACAACAACAATCAGGTTCAACCACTAAGAGGGACATCAGGCTATCAGGAAAAACACACATTCCATTTTCACAATGCCAGTCCTCTGTCGCAAAAAGCAACCTCCGCTCCTTCTCGCAGAGCTTGCAGAGCTTGCGCCCTCCAGTCCAGGCAGCAGCTCGGCGGAGCGCGCCGAAGGATTGAAGCAGCTGCGGCGGCTCCGGGGGCAGCCCGCGGCGTTGGAGGCAGCGAAGAAGGCCCTTGAGGCGTTGGACGTGTTGCCCATTTCGGCGCAAGAGTGGGGAGTGGATGAAGCATTTTAGGAGGATGTCGATTTGTTAGGCTTACATTTTTTACACACATTTGTATACATCTTGAGTTTAACATCTAGATCGAGTTCTTGTGTTGTGGTCAGTCTGTGGGACACACTGACATGTAAGAAGCGCTCCCCCCGAAAGTTATTCCCGAGAGCGTCTGCGAAGGGTTCTTCGTAAAAGAACATCTGCAGAACTACGTCTCATCTACATCTTCACATCTTCACCTCTGCACATCCACATTCTCACCTATATCTCTGCTCATCTTCACATCTACATTCACAAATGCACATCTACATCTCTGCTCATGTTGCTCATCTTCATCTTCACACATCTACATCTCTGCTCATGTTCACATATGTACATCTACATCTCTGCTCATCTTCACATCCTCACATCTAGATGTCTGCTCATCTTCACATCCTCACATCTACATCTGACATCTTTACCTCTCTCTCATCTACATCTCACAGCTTCACCTCTCGCTCTTCTTAACTTTCTCTCTTAAGGCCGGGGGCAGTGCCGCCGGACCGCCACGAAACGCAATCCTCTGCGGAGATCGTGCGTGTCGGATGTGCGAAATGCAGGCGAGAGTGCGATTTGGTCCAGTCCGGCGCAACCCTCTGCGGAGATCGTGCGTGTCGAGTGCGCGAAATGCAGGCGAGAGTGCGATTTGGTTTTGGCGCGGGCAACCCTCTGCGGAGAGCGTGGCGACTTTGTAGTGCAACTGGAGTACGCGGAGCAGCTGGGGAGCTGGAAGATGAGAACTGGCGACATTGTAGTACAACTGTAGTACGCGGAGCAATCTGTGGAGCTGGAAGCTGAGAACTGGCGACTTTGTAGTACAACTTTAGTAGGCATAGGTATCAAAAAAAGCATATTTATCGAATCAATAAACAATTTTTACCGAATCAAAAAAAAATATATATCCTGAATCAATAAGAAATACTCGTTGTGCGATGAAATCCCTTGGAATTCCCAGTCGTGTAGGTCCTCTGGTCCCCTGGTCCTCTGGTCCGCTGGTCCTTTGGTCCGCTGGTCCTGGTCCGCTGGTCCCCTGCAGTCCGCTGGTCCACTGGTCCGCTAGTCCCTTGGTCCTCTGGTCCTTCGTCT